AGGGTGTCGGTGTGACGCAGCAGGTTACAGAGACTGTTGTTTCGGAGGTGGTTCAGCAAGTGCAGTCGGCCATGGCTCAAAGGCAGCAAGAGAGCCAGGATCAGATGCAGAGAGTGGCGCAAGCAGTTGGTACATTGCAAGCGCAGGTGCAGCGGATGCAATCTGGAACGCAGATACCGGAGGGAAGCGATCGTGCAGCATCAGGTTCACCGAGGCAGGATGGGCAGTCGCATTTCATAGGAGAAGGAGGTGCTCGACCTTCTGCAGATGCAGGTGGATTTGGACCGAGGCCGTATCCAACCAGCGGGGTCACGGTCAATCCAGCGATTGCGTACGCCATCCAGCAAGGCGGAGTGGACAGCAAGGTTTTGGCGAGACCCAGCATTTATGATCCGGTGAAGATGAGTGGGTACATGGCTTTCAATGATTGGAGTGATCATGTTATTACATGTGTGGATGCGCAAATTCCCGGCACATGGGAAATCATGGAGTACCTGAAGGACACGCAGCCGGTATCTGTGGTCAGCTTGGACGATTTGTGTCTACATTTTCCGAATATAGACCGGGCGACTCTGGAGTATTCTAATTCCAATTTGTATGCGGTGCTGATCACGTACACGCTCAATGAGGCGCGCAATATTGTTCGACAAGCTAGACGGCCGAACGGATATGAGGCATGGAAACTGCTGCAGAAACGGTTCAATCCAGTTACCATTGGACGGCAGCGAGCTGGACTCACAAACATCGCGAACCCGGCCACGAACATACCTATTGCACAGCTTTCTGGCGAAATCGTGGCATGGGAAACGCGCATCACTGAGTTTGAGGCAAGGCCCAGTGCGGAGAGGATCAGCGAGTCCATCAAGATGGCAGCAGTGGTTTCAATGTGCCCTACAAAGCTCCGGGATCATTTGCAGTTGAACGCACAGAGGTTTACGAGTTACAATGAGCTGAGAGAAGAGATATTTGTGTATCTGGATCACATGCAGTCCGCAGCAGCAACAAACATGGATGTGGGCTCTCTGCAGAAAGGTGGGGGAAAAGGTTGTTATGAGTGTGGTGGACCACATTTTGTGAAAGATTGCCCCCGCAGAGCAAAGGGCAAAGGCAAGGACAAAGGAGGTGGAAAAGGAAAGTTTCCATTTGTGAAAGGCAAGGGCAAGAAAGGATCCTTCGCCAAAGATGGAGGCAAAGGAAAAGGCACGGGGAAGAAAGGTGGCAGCCCTTGCAGCGTCTGCGGCAAGATGGGACACACCAGAGACACGTGCTGGAATGCAGTCAAAGGTAAAGCCCTGAATTCGGTGGATCCTCGTCTTTCGCAGCTGCAGTCCGAATTTGCCAGAGCCGCGATGGAAGAGTACAACAAGAGAGCAGAGACGCCGGCACAAAGTGAAGCTCCAACGAGAAGTGCGGGCAGCTCCTCAGCGTGTGCAAGTTCGTCTCCAGGTACAAACAGGCAGCTGGGCGGTTTCACAATCAAGCAACTGGGTGCAATTTCCATGAAGCAGCAGTCTGGCAAGCAGTGTGCGCAGGTTCCTGATGATGATTCAGTGCAGACGGTGACCATGCACGACACTTATGTGGTTCGTTCTAATGTGGACAGTGGAGCAGCGATTTCAGTGGCTCCTTGGGGGACTTTTCCCGATTACCCAGTTGTGAAACCACAGGAAGGATGCGAGATGGTGTTGATTGCAGCCAACAATGAGGAGGTGCAACACTACGGAGAGGTCAGACCTGTGGTCATGTCTCCCGAAGGACATGTGCGAGAAATGACTTTCCAGCTGGCAGGAGTGAATAAGATTCTGACTTCGGCAACGCAGATTTGCAACAAAGGGTACAGACTGGTTTTGGAGTCAGAAGAGAAACATTCGTACATCGAGGATTGTGAGAACGGAGACCAGTTTGAGCTGGTGCAGGAGGACGGCATCTTCATACATTATCTGCATGTGGTGCCGTACCGGTTCGTGTCGGGTTTCAGTGGGCAGCCACAGGAGCCGGAAGGGGTCGTGGTGTAAGACCCGTGGGTGCTGTGGATGTAGGAGGAGGAGAGAGAGTTGCGCCCAATGAGGATGCAGCTTCTGAATTTAATGCAAGTGACCGCAGTGATTTACAGTGTGATCCAGTGGATGCTGAAAAGCCGAAATCTCCTGGACCTTCAGAATATGAGCCAAGCGAGGGACTTGGTGAAGTGGATGGTGATGTTCATGACGAACTGCATGAAGAATTTGAGGAAGGAACCACAGAGCGCATAGCATTGAGGTTGCCTCCTGAGCCATCGGAACGAGAACGGCGAGAGCATGCAATCAGTCATTTGCCGTATAGGTCATGGTGTCGGGATTGCGTGAGAGGCAAGGGATTGACCACTGCACACAGAAAGAGGAATGAGAGCGAGGACAAAGCAGATAGAAAACCTTTGGTAGCAATGGATTATTTCTACCTGGGCAGAGATGAGAGCAAGAGTTTGCCTATTTTGGCAATGGTGGAGGAGCGGACTGGACGCACATATGCTATCAGCATGCCGGAGAAAGGTGTTGGCCACAAATACAACATTGCAGCGGCGGCGAAGGTGCTCAAAGTATCTGGGTGTTTGGATGCGATTTTGAAGTCTGACACAGAGAGGTCTTTGGTGGCGCTTCGCACGCAGTTGCAGGGCATTTTTCCATCTTTGGGTTTTGAGGATGCGACCAAAGGTGAATCGCAAAGCAATGGCCTTGTGGAATCCTACATCGGGAAGATTGAGGCTCAGGCTAGGACGATGAAGAGCGCATTAGATCGGCACTACCCTGGTTTGCATGCGAGACACCCGGTGTTGGCGTGGATGGTGGATTATGCGGGAGCTTTACTCTCGCGATTCAATCGAGGTGCTGACGGTCGGACGCCATTTGAACGATCGACTGGCAAGTCTTGGCGGGTGCAGTTACCGGAATTTGGAGAAAGCGTCCTGTTTCAGCCGCTCAAAGGTGAAAGGAGCCAGAGTAAGCTGGATCCGAAGTTCGAGGAGGGAATCTTCCTTGGAATACAGGAGGGTTCTGCTTTGAAGTGGGTTGGTACTCCCACGGGTGTGCAGAGAGCATGGTCGATCAAGACGAGAGCAGGTCATGAGAGATGGGATCAAGCATTGATGCAGTGCTTGGTAGGTTTGCCATGGCAGCTGCGGCCGAAGAGAGAGGAAGTGGAAAGCAGAAGAGAGTCCCTGCCAGCGGATCTGGATGTGAGGTTGCCTGCTGACGTGCCGCAGTCAAGTGAACCTGCAGTGAAGAGGAAAAAGGGCTATGTTCCGAGAGGAATCTACATCCGGCGAGATGTGGAATTGGAGGAGTTTGGTTATACAGAGGGGTGCGACGGGTGTGCGTCGGCATCTCAAGGTTTGTCACACAAACAGCATAGCTCAGTGTGCAAGAAGAGGATCAGAGATGAGCTGATGAAATCAGATGAAGGCAGGCGCAGAGTTGAGAGAATGGAAGCTCGAGCAGAAAGGTTCATGGTGAAGTTCAAGGAGGAGGAAGAGAAAGCAGCGAAAGCGGAGAAAAGGCAGGCGGAGGAGGGAGATCCTTCGCCGGGCAAGAGGTTGTCCAGAGCAGCGGATGGTCCAGACGTGGTGCTGGATGACTTGGTGGTGGTCAGCAGTCAGGAGGGCAATGGTCCTCAGCAGTCTGCCCCTAGTACTCTCTTGGCTCCTTTGCCGGCGGAGTCCGGTCGGGGGGTCGAGGAGGGGAAAGGTGGCATGGCCCCAATGGAGTTGGCCAATGATGAAGGTTCTGGACATGCAGAAGGAGCTCAACGATCTATGGATTTGGGTTCTCTGCGAGTTTTGTCTTTGGATAAAGGTTCTGAGGACTTTCAGGGGATCATCAGGGAGGCGGACTATATTGAGGCGCAATCTCTGATGGATGATGAGCAAGTGGAATCCAGCCGGATATGTTTGCGGCTGGGTGGAGTTGGTGTGAGAGAGGCGTATGGAGTAGATCCATATGGCAGGAAGCCGGTAGTGGCGGAGGTATTTTCGCCACCGCGTGTGACCCATTTTGGGATGCAGCGAGGATTGATTGCGGGTGTGGCGCTGGACTTGACAACCACAGATGCGGATGGGAATCCATGGGATTTCAACAAGAAGGTGATGAGACAGAAAGCAATGGAGCTTATTGATGAGCTTCAACCGGAGTTGATCATTGGGTGCCCACCTTGTGGACCGTTCAGTATTCTGCAAGGTTTGAATCAAGAACGGACAGATCCTGCTGTGGTGCAATCAAAATTGGGTGAAGCGAGACGGCATTTAGAGTTTTGTACTCAACTGTATGAACAACAGATGCAACGTGGTAAGCTGTTCTTGCATGAGCACCCTAACACAGCGAGGTCGTGGCGCGAACCCTGCATTCAGAGAATTTGCGAGATGCCCTTTGTACAGAGGATCACTGGCGACATGTGCAGACAAGGAATGGTAGGTCAAGATGAGCATGGGGTGGCTTTGGTGAAGAAGCCCACCGGGTACATGACGAATTCAAAATGTATAGCACAGGAATTGTCTTTGCGGTGCGAGAATCGGCCTGGAGAACTTCAGGTATGGCGTCGTTTGGATTTGAATGCGAAAAGAGCAGTGACGGTCAGGAAAGGTGGTCCACGTTTGGAACAAGTGGTTAGGCGCGTTACAATGGACGTGGACAATCATGTGGTTTTGCAGGATTTGCGGGATGTGCAGAATGCTTCGCAACAAGAGCTCTTTTTCACCCTGCCGACTACAACGCAGAACATTGAGACCATCTTTTATTACAAAGCTGAGGGCAGCAAGTGGCATCGGCATGTGCAACTTATCAACGGTCGTGCGAAAAAGGCGGAAGTGTATCCAGAAGGACTGATTCGCAGTATTTTGAAAGGCGTTCGCAGAGAGATGGAGAAGAAGGTGTTCCTGGGCAGTTTGGCTTTTGGACCCGTGAATGAGGAAGCGGACGTGGACCCTGGTCTGTTTGAAGCAGAGGATTGGTCGACATTCTTGGATGAGGTCTCGGGCAAGTCGTTGAACACTTCGAAGGTGCGTGCGGCCCGAGCAGAGGAGATTGAATTCGCACGGCGTTACAATGTGTGGACATTGGCCCCGATTGCTGAGGCGTGGGAACGGACTGGAAAGCCTCCCATCGGGTGCCGATGGATTGACATTGACAAGGGCGATGCAGAACGGCCTAATTATCGCTCTCGTTTAGTGATACAAGAAGTGCGGACTTCCGGCATAGAAGCAATCTTCGCGGCGACTCCCCCTCTTGAGTCAATTCGGTTTTTGCTATCATTGCAACGCTCTGGAAAGAAGAAGCAGAAGATCATGTTCGTGGACATCAGGAGGGCACATTGGACAGCGAAGATCGATCGTCTTGTGTATGTGCGTTTGCCGGAGGAAGCATCGAAACCTGGATTTTGTGGAAGGCTGAATCGTGCGATGTATGGTTGTAGAGATGCAGCAAGGCAGTGGGAGATCGAGATCACGGATTTCTTCACGGTGCATGGCTTCACACCTGGTTTGGGAAGCCCTGTTTTATTTGTCAATCAGACGCGTGACGTGAAGGTTTCAGTACATGGGGATGACATCACAGCTTTGGGCGAGCAGCCGGATCTTGAGTGGTTGAAGTGCAGACTTCTTGAAAGGTATGAGATCAAGTTTGGTGGTCTTTTGGGTCCGGATGAAGGAGATGTTCAAGATGCGATGATCTTGAATCGCCTGGTGCATTATGGTGCGACGGAGACAACATATAAAGCAGATCCCCGTCATGTGCAAATTTTGGTGAATGAGCTTGGCCTGCAGGACGCGAAACCAGCACCAACGCCTGGGGTGAGACGTTCTGATTCGGAGGCCACTGAGCCATTGTCTGAATATGACATGAGGCGGTTCAGAAGCTTGGTTATGAGGTGCAATTATTTGTCGCTTGATCGCCCAGATGTGGCGTATTCTTCAAAGGAACTGGCCCGGGCGATGAGCACTGCTACAAATCAAGACTGGAATGGCTTGAAACGGCTTGTGAGGTATTTGAAGGGTGTGCCGAGGTTAGTCTGGAGTTACACTAACCAAAGCGAGCAGGATGGCTTTTCGATGTTTACAGATAGTGACGATGCTGGGTGCACGCGCACGAGGAAGTCAACTTCATGCGGTGTCCTCTTGCACGGGAGCCATCTGATCAAATTTTACAGTGGCACACAACATATCATTTCTTTGAGTTCTGGTGAATCGGAGTTCTATGCTGGAATCAAAGCAGGAGCAGTGCTGCTTGGTGCGATGTCGATGAGTTTGGACCTTGGAGAATTGCGAAAAGGTCGATTGATTTTCGATGCAACCGCTGCGAAGGCTATGTTGACGAGAAAAGGACACGGTCGTGCAAAGCATATCGATCGGTCCTACTTGTGGCTCCAACAACGGGTGCACGCGGGTGACTTGGAACTGGCGAAAGTCGGGACCAAGAAAAATCCCGCAGATTTAGGCACCAAACATTTGGAGGCCGTGAGAGTGCATGAGTTGTGCGCTGAGATGAATCTCAGGCAAGAAGATTCACTGCACAGGATGTCGCTGAAGGTGTAGAGGTGGCATTGACGACCAGCGTCAAAGCCAGGAGGGCATGCATGGATGTGACAGCTGTTTCAGATCAAAAGAGCCCGGAGTGCGTTGCATAATTTTCTTCAGGGAGGGGTCAAAAGCCATTTTAAGAAACTCCCGTTCAGAGCTCCCTGCGTGAGGAGCTTTGATGCGAGACTTTGCAGCCTGGGTTGCGTGGCTGCAGTAGGTCCGTAGGTCGGATCGTCCGTGGCCGTCATGCCCAGGCCTGGTCCTTGTTGAGACAGCCTTTGAATGGGCATGTCTTTTTTTACCCCATTTCTGATGGCTTCAAAGGGAAACCAAAAGGACAACCATCTTTTCTTTTGGGAGGGGTTCTTCTAAAAAAGCCACACCCACAAGCTTGGGTAGCGCACCAATTGGTTGGTCTCTAAGTGGGGTACCTTTTTTTGGTTGAGAGGGGAGCCCAATCCCCTATGGCTTCGTTTAAGGCAATCCCCTTCCGGTTCATTCCCAACACCCGGAACGGTCATTCCCTACCTATCGCACCAGCAAGATAATAACGGGGACCTGTGCACTTCCATTGAAGGTAGGTGTTTTCCGGGCTAGAAGGGCTCATCCACCACTGCCGGGGGGACAACGGGGGGGGGAACGGATTTGCCCGGCCTCGAGGTCCAACGTTACGACCCATCTGAAAGCTCTTGGGCTGAAGCCACTGGTTTAGGCAAGGGACCCTGTTGAAAGGCGTTGGCAGCCACCGGCAATTGCGAGATCAAAATCCCGCCATTTACGGATTTTGGTTGCGTTGTCCGATCAAAACGGCTATTTTCTGGTACTCCGATTGGGGGTCCCTTAGTTTTAGGAATATCCGGCAGGGGCCAATGGGCCCAACGCCATTCCAGCCACGTGCTGCAAAAACTTCAAGCCCCAACACCTCGGCGAGGGCGAGGAGCGTGACAGGAAAAAGCGGCAGTGCGCGATGTTCGTTGAAGATGGTGTCCATGGGCCAACGTTTGGCCGTTCGTTGGACCGATCCCTCTCTTGCTTGGTGTTTCAGGGAAAGCACATCCTTTTTGCCAGCGCCCCTCTTGGAACCGCCGATCATGTCCGCATGCGTTTGGACCGAAAGTCGTTGCCGTTTGCATGGCTTCCTTTTCGTTTTTCTCTTTTCAAGCCATTGGAAGGGGTACTGGATGTTGCTGCGCCATTGGCAGACATTTTTCCGCTGGATTTCTGGATGTTGAGCTGCAGTGCTCTCCTTTCAAGCCAGTTAGGGGCGTGCTGGTTTTCAAGCCGCAAGGGTGGCATCCTGAATTTTCACCCACCTTCTGCCGCACTGTGCGGTTGCTTCGCGTGGTGCCTTGCGCTTGCGCCAGGTTCTACGTGCGGACCCCGGCTACCCGGGTCTAAGTGGATCGGACCTGGGGCCCCCTCTTGAATGCAAGACCCCACCCAAATCAAACACAATCGGGAGTTCGCCGGCCTCATTTTCCAAATTCACCCCTGTTCAGTGATGGGTGAAGGGAAGACCACCAGCCACTGTGGTTTGTTCCCCCAAGAAAGAAAAGACACAGGCAACAACAAATAAATACACCAGCATAGACCCCAGGCCCTTTTGGATGCAACGGCACAGAGAGAGAGAGAGAGAGAGAGAGAGAGAAAGGGAGACCCCAGACAGCATGGGAGATTGCAACAGCACCCTGACCAACACCCACAACGGCACCCTGACTCAACAATCACCGGGACGACAACGCCAAAGAAGCACTGCCAGCAACCACCATAGCACCTTGAGCGCACCCCAAACAGCACCCTAACCAGCACCTGCACACCCAACCTTGGCCCGAACTCGCAAAAAACAGGCTGCCCCTTTTTGGAAGTAAGAACTCCTTGTGTCTTTCAGCTATTTGGGAACAGAGCCAGGACTGCCCCCCGAGCCCCCCAAAGCGTGACTTGAGGCGAGCCATCGGGGCTTCCAGTCGCACAAGCGGCGGCTGACGATGCCTGGGACTTGGGGGTCATGGTGGCTTTGTGGGGGGTCCATTGGCTTCTTGATGGAAGTCGTGACAACCATCCCCAGGTGGGTTCCAAACCCATGCCACCTGCGGGTTGGCCCGGGCGCTTGCTTTGTGATCAGTTCGACACCTGCAGCTCTTGGTAGCTCAAGTCTTGGGAATCTCAGGCCTGAGTTGCAAGATGTTGCCGGAGGTGATGCCAATGGTGAACCCATGTGTGGGCGTGGTTGACTGGCTAGTTGGCATGTCAAAAATCAGGAACCCCAAAAATAATCGTTCGCTTCCCCTTTAAATCGGTCCCCCCCAAAAAATATATGTAGATATATATATATATATTACAACCTAGTAAAACAAGAACAAAGACAGACACAGCCCAGGGTTTCAGCTGGGGTTCCCCTTCTCCCCTCTGGGCCAAACTTTGGGCGCGAGGCCGGAGCCCAAGACGCGGCGCCCGATCCTCTCGCAGGAGAACCTGCAGCCCGGGACCCCGGGACCCGGAAGTCCTGACGGGAGAACATCCATCCCAGTTGCCGCCTCAAGTTACCGTGGCTCGTCTTTTTCGTGTTTTTTGGCCCCCCCAAAAAGGGTTCTTTTCTTTTGTTGTCTTCCTTGCATGCCCAAATGGAGATTTCCGTCTGCTCTGCTGAGATGGCTGGGACACAGGGGCCATTGGGGTTTCAGCGGCATTTGGTCGGCCACACTGTGCACTTTCGAGCTACAAGACGACCCCCTCTTGCTTTTGGCTATTGAGACGTGATCCATCGGCCATCCCTGTCGTTTCGCATTTTTTTGGCATCAAACAACTGGCTAAGCATCAAACCACGGCAACAACTACCGGGTAGAGCAGGCCAAGTGACGTCTTGAGTCTTGAGCCAGTCTTATCAAGAGTCCAATCACAGTCTTGGCTGAACCCCAGTCAAGTCCTGCTGGTGCATGTTGGGGTTGCATCAAAGTCGGGTTGCAGGGCAGCATGCAACTGTACTTCCAAGTGTATTTAGAATTCTGGGGTGGTCCTCTGGGTGTACTTTTGGTTTGTATCTCATGGTGTATCGTATTTGTATTTTTAATTCTTTGGGTAATCGTAGAGGTTTTCCTGTTTGCCCATCATAAAACTACCCTCTCACTTGCATGGAACCTGAGGCGATTTTCCTCTAAAATGGGGACCGGTTCTTTTTTTGTAAGTGGAGGCGAAAATAAGTCGATAACCACCTCATCTCATGTTTTTTCTCTCTTTTTTTTTTGAGGGGGGGGTGCCTTGTAAACCAACCGACCATTATTATTTTTGGTGGGAGGTTGCCTTTTGCAAAGAGAGGCGGGTCTGGCTGGCGACGCCCCTGGCTCAGGTTCGTGACGCAGCCCGGCTGGGAGCGCCATGAAGCCAAGGCGCCCAATGTCAAGGGCGAGGCGGGGGGGGGGGGGGCGGGGGGGAGGGGCGGCGGGGAAGGTGGGTGAGTCAGGGGTGCGGGTTGGGACCTTTTCCTATAAACTCTATAAACCCTTCCTGGGGGGGGGGGGGGGATCTTTTTGTTTTTGTTCTTTGCATTGCAATGGGTGTTCCTCAACATGGCAGGGCCCTTGATTCTTGATGGTTGCAAGAAGGACGCCCATTCTGGGAGACCGACACCTTCTGATGGCAAAATTATGTTTGGTAGGGTGGTGCTGGAAGGGGAAACGGAACACACCCATCTTCTTGGCGTGATGAAAGTCCAGCCAGGGGAACGACCCCCTGCGCGCGGGCCCTTGATAGGACAAGCACCCATCATATATGGTCCCTTGTTACGAGCCCTTGTTCAATAGCGAAATCAGCTGAAGTGGGTTGGTCCGTTAAGTGAACTGGTAGAATCAGCCGTTGGTATCACAGTGGCTGCACTTCCCGCCCTGCAGATTGTGAGGAGGCACCCGGGGAAGTTTCTCAAGGGGCCCTCAAAGGACCCCCCCCGAACAAGTTGACAAGTTGTTTGTTTCCCTTGATTTCCCTTCAGCCACCAACCAAAAGGTCTGTTTTGAGAAACCTCCAAGACTGCAAGCTTCTTTTTGTTGGGTTCCTACTTTCAGTCAGCGAAAGGCGGGCGGCGCTTTCAGAGATGTGCCGCCAAAGTCAAATTTGCTTGTTAGTTGCCATTTGTGGTTTTAAATGTCACGTTTCGGACATTCCGTTGGGCCAATCCGTGCTCGCATCTACTCCCCGCCCTTGGCTGTGCAGATGGCGGAGTGGAAGCAACTCACACCGAGAGGCCAAAGGAAGCAGGCCGGCGGTGGGGAAAGTTTGAAGCAATCAGCTCCTCCACTTGAGAATGAACCCTACAGGAGATTGTGTAAACAATAGTGTCGAACCCCGGGATTAGTAAATCTGCTGGATTAATAGGGGGCGTGCCGCTCAAAGTGCCGGCGATGGGCAAAGTCGTGCCAGAGGTAACCAAAAACGGGATTGCGCAAACAGGTTTGAGCAGTGGTAAAACTATGGCAAAGCAGGAGGTGGAGGCCTGTCCTGGACCCAAGGGGTTTAGTCAGGGGTTTAAGCCATGGTTTGAACGGGTTGCGTTGAGCATCCCTGGCCATGCTAAATGGCAAGCTTACAAGGAGGTTTGGGGAGGGGGTCTCACTAAAGTTCCTGCCTGAACTATGGCTCGCTGAGGAAGGGAAAGCCACATTGGTGGGTATGTGTCAATATGGGGGGGGGTCCCTAAAAATGGGTTTCCCTATTGGTTGCCCTTCAACCTGAGCCCAAAAGTGGTACCAACTCCAAGCGCACATCCGCATTTACCTTCGAGTGTGTCAATGTGAGGCTCGGGACGTGGGCACGCTGCTCCTGCGGGTGCGCCGGTCAGTCTGGCCTTGGCTTTCCCGCAAGGAGGAGCCCAACAAGGCCTTTGTCCGTGAATGTTGTTTTCGGGAAAACGCTCTAGGAACCTAGGCCTTCAACTCGGGACTTCCTTTTCAGTTGGCTTTGCATGGAACTCTTGCGGCCCCAAGTCGCTGTGTCGCGGAAGCAGGGTGAGATATTTGACGGAAGCCCGCAAGGAGTGGAGTTTGAGGGTGAGAAGGGCCTTCCTTCGGAACTTGACCATGGGAAAAGCAAGCGGCCTTTGATATTTTTCAGAAGGGCGTTCCAACAGTTGGCGTTTTTTTTTTTCAGGCTCGGCATTCCTTGGTTTGTGGCTTAAAGGGAAGCCAAAAGGAAGGCCAGACATTTTGGGGGTGCCCCAAGACGCGCTCTTAGGCTTTGCCACATCCTTCGAGGTACCCTTGCCCCCGGCACCCCATTTGGTGCACGGCCGGGGCGCGCCGCCGGTCCCCGCGCCGGTCCCCGCGCCGGCGGCGTGAGAGGGGGTCCGACGCGGGATTTGATTGGTTGAATGGCTACCGCTGGTTCAGCCGTCGTGTTTCAGCCATAGTTTAAACTAAGGGTTGAATCACCCATCCCTGGAAGCGTGTAGCTCGATTTCACCCCACTGCCAAGCAGCGGTGCTCGAATCTCCGAGGCTTAGTTTCCAGCCGAGGGACAATGACCTTTCAGCGTTGTCGGCGTTGTCGGCTCTTCTGGGGTGGCTGATTGAAGGAACCCAACCCACATGTTTGGCTGGGTGCCAGACGACGTGCTTCCTCTTTTTTGAGTTTCCGCACGGTTTTTGGCTGGTTCTTTCGGGAGGTCAAAGGTCAAACGGAAATGCGCCCCCATTTTCGAACACATTGCCTCAACACATCCAAAGATTGGTTGACCTCCATAAACACATGGCCAATCGAAGCCTTCGTTGCTAGGGGGCCGCTTTGGAGCTCCCTCCGTGGTCACTCGATGTGGAGGTTCTGGCGCCATTGTCTTTACCATCCCCGAAGCGACAACGCAGGAACGCTTTGTGTTGCCAAGTTGGACTGGGGGGGTGGGGGTAGTAGGGGCAGTTATGACAAATCCGCCAACGGGGCAACCATGGGTAAGGGTCAGGGGACCAATCGGCACTTGCCAACTCGAACTTGGACGTCTCCCTCGACGGACCGCCACTCTTGAGGGGGACCCCAAGATGGAAGTGAACAAGGCAGTTCCGTTTTTCTTTGCACGGGTGATGCTTGCATGCTTTTGGCTTTGAGGACAAAGCACAGGTGAACCCGCCCAGCCAAAGTGACATCCTAAAAGCGATCCAAATGATGGTTTAAAGGGCACCTCCAACCAGGTTTGATGTGTATTTCCCCACTCAACCAGGGTGGGGTTTGATTTGAATCTTCCACTCATCCCAGTGTTTAGAGAATTCCCGTATGAGTCACATCCAAAGTTCTCTGCAGCGTGGCCTCTCACACTTCTCAACTAGCGCTCGCGCCGGGACCGCCTCTCCATGTTTTTTTGGCTCGCAGCTTTGGTGGTGGTCCTGGTTTCGAAAAGGCACCCAGTTCAGAAGTCACTCGGTTTCTCAGAGAAAAGCAACCAGACATTGTAAGCCGAAGCAGTCCGCTCGCGAAATGCGCCGAGTGCTGCGCAAAGCTCACCAACGGCGGACCAAACAGAGCCAAACCAAGCATGGAGCCAAACGTAGCAGAGCAAGGTCAGCAGATCAACCGATTCAGCAGCTCAGACACTTTGGGATTGACTCCTAGTGCCTGGGGGGGCCGAAGACCGGGCCCCATAAGAGGCGGGGCCTGGGTGCACTGGGTGGCTCGAGTCGCCAATCTGTCGCGGTAAATCCGTCAGTGAATCCGCCAGGGCACGGGGGAGTTGTGTCACCCGATGAGTCTGCGCTGCGCTCGGGTCAAACATCTGGGCTTGGCTCAAAATTTGGGGACCCCTTCAGCATCCACCGCCCCCCCAAAAAAGGAGTGCTTTTCCAGGCATGGCCACTGGGCCCTCGGGGTATGTGTCACAATAGAAATTGGACCCCCCACAAAATGTGTTTCGTTTTTGTCGTTTGGCTTCGCTTGGAATCCACTCCGAAAAGGGTATCGAGCCCAAAACGCCAGGCCCATTTTATGGCCACTGTGGAGGCTCTGCATCGCTGTGACCAACTGAGGCTCCCACCCAGATTTCAGTGGATCGCTGAAAATGTGGCGAGCGCTTTTGCTCGCGCCTCAGCCTTTCTGAAAGTGCCAGTGACATCCTCAACCTCCAAATGGGTTAATTCACTAAACGGGCGACTCCAAAACTAGTGTCCTTTTTTTGTGGTTGCCCTTGACGCCTGCCTGAAGAGGGTTCCCTCCCCAAATGGCGGCTTCATTGGAACAGACTATGACCACTTTTTTCGGGGCCAAAGGTTTCCGACTCCACGCTCCGCGCCAGGAAATTAAGAATGTTGAAAGCCGCGGCCCCAGTGCAGAGGCGTGCTCCTGAACCTCCGCAATGACAAGAACCAGCCATAGCAGTCCGTTGTTCAACAAGGGTGGCCTACCCAGTCTCCCTATTTCCCGACCAAAATCGGGGGCCTACGGCCTACCCAACTGAACCAACTGCAGTGTAGCATTGCCTGTGGCCAGTCGAACGAGAGGCTCCCCCGTCTGAGGTACGATTCAAGAAAACTTGAACTTCAAGAAGCTCACCGAGCCGCTCGGATTTCAACGCGGCCAAAGGGACCTCCGAGAGGCTTGTTAGAACCCGGGCTTGGGGCAAAATGTGTTGTGCGTTCGTGTGTGAAATTTTGGGAAGTACCTGGAGTGCCCCCTTTTTTCTTCTTTTTTTCTTTCTTCTCCTTCGTTGAAGGGAGGCCCTGAAGGAACCTTTGACACATGCACAAATGGGTTTAGAATTGGACCTTCGAAGACGTTGAAACATTCGAAAGGCTCCCTGCGGTGTGGGTTGATGGTCCCAACCCCAGAGACCCCGACCCCGAGACCCCGACCGTCTGCCTGGTAGAACCGGGGGAGGCCCTGAATGACTCGAATGCTTGATGGGTACTTTGAAGCCAAGCTAAACCACTTTTTTGGGGAGAAGGATGTGTGCAATTTGTCTAGCCCAGCTTCTTCTTTGGATGTCACCGGGTTGGGCAGACATGGGGCCGCCAGAGAGCTTCATGCGCGGCAGCGCAGAGGTTTCTGGAAGGGAAGACCAAGCAGCCGCCCCCTGAGCTTCATTGAGTCGACTTTTCGCCTTGACCAGGGTCCGTTTAAGGATGCATGACGCCATGGCCATGGTAACCAACCCCAGTTTATTGATAGGGTGTGTGTGTGTGGTGTGTGCCTGGGAAAGAGTCATCATTGTTGGAGGGGACCCCCTATTAATAAAATTGGAGCAATTAGTATGGGGTCAAAGTTATGGGGCACGTAGAACATCACCTTTACCCGCTGATTAAGAGGATCCCCTTGAAAAGCAGGCGGTTTTTGGATGTATGCTTTAAGGACTATTTGAGAAAACCGCGAGCGATGGCAGCTGCGATCTCCATACTGTTTTCTGCTGCGCCCGGCATTGAGCAGTATGACCTCCCTAGGATTTGCGATGTGACCCCAGGGTTGGCCCTGCTTCAAAGTGTCAAGACAACTTCTTCTTTCAACTGCCTCCTTACGGAGATTAGGTCAGGTTTAAGCACAACTCCGTCCCGAGGCAGCACATTTTCTTTTTCTACCAGCGCCCAGACGTGTTCAACGAGCACAATGAGCCGGTGGATGCGCACAAGGAGCACGGAAAAGCAGGTGTCTGGATCTGTTTGTTTTTGTCCCCCGGTTGAAAGATTTGGGGCTTTGCAGGAATCACCCTGGGTTGTTTCGGAGTAGCTTTCAGGGAGGGTTGCAGGGAATTCCAGGAGATTCCGGCTCTGTTGGGTACCACCGAGCCTGTTTTTGAACATGCGAGGATCACTATGGACAACAACATGTGGATTTTCTAATGTTTGGAATCAAGGATGTTGATTTTGATTGGGGATGCAAAAGCTGAGGTAGATGCTTTGAAGACCCTAGACTGGCAAGCTGCCCAGCGCGCTCCTGCCTCTTTTTTCCTCACAAATTTTCACAAAGGGCATTTGTGGCGTTGGCGTCCCGTCGGGCACGCAATTCTTGGCGCACGTTCAGATCCTCACGCCGCGAGCCGGAGGACTGTAAGCTCACCATCACCACTGGGGAGAACGAGCGGATCAAGAGCTTTGCGGTGCGCCTCGAGGGCCCAGGGTCACGAGACAAGCTAGACACGCTCCTCCTTCTTTTTTTGGACGCTCCGCCGGAATTTCTGGCCTAAAGTTTGGAAGGGTCAGAGCAACGCACCCGGAGGTTGGATCTCAGTTGCTGTTGCCCATGTGATTTTGCGCAGCTGCCAATCTGCTCTAGGGTTTTCCCAATCAAGAAAAACTAGGAGGGAAGTACACCACTGGTGTTTGTCTCTGAGCGAGGTGTACTTCCTCAGGAACGTGCCGCGGGGGCCCCCAACCGGGCCGGCAGAAATGCCGCGGGCCTGCTTTGGGAAGCGGGGAAAAGAGGGGCCCCAGGAATTCCGGAATTCCTGGCCTTTTTTTTGTGCAAGGAGCGCTCAAGTGGGGACCACACATTCTCCAGACTTGGGGGTCTCAATTTGGGGGGCCATTGGCCCAAAGTTGGCAGCGGATTCGTGTCCGAGGCAGGACAAGGCCATCAAGACCGACGTGTTCTCGGACCAGGCAAGCGTTTGCCCCGGATATTGGGGGCCGGTGGCTCCTCGAGCTTATCACACGTTTCGGGTTGGAACGTGTGTTACCCCATGCATTTGGGAAGCGGACGCACACCTGGCTTGATGCATCTCCCGGCATTTCGCAACCCAGCTGTTCAGGGCGACTTCTCTCCAATTTGGGGGTGGGTGCTCAAATGGAATCCACCGCAAACTTTGGGTTTGGGTCATTGGCCCTCACCCCTCCCCCACGGGTCTTCGCGCAGCCAGGAGCTCCTTTTCGGGGAGGTCACGGTGAACCCTTTGGAGAGCCTCAGTGCGGGCCCTGAAATCGAAACGTCGAGGCGGTCGAGAGACCTTCGAGACAGGGATCCATCGTGTTCCTTCCACAGAACCCGACTGAGAAACCACCCGCTTTCCGGGTGGCTTGAGAAAGGTACGGCTGGACTCCAGTGACTAGAGGTTTTGTGTGTGGAGTTGGGGGGGATCGGCCCTGGGGATGTTAGGGAGATGGCCCTGTTCAGAAAGCAGGTCGGTTGTTTGCCATTCTGAAGCGCCGGGCGTTCTTGTCTCGGAAGTCACTCAGCCTTTCCTAAATGGATCTCAGAAAGCCACATTGCCCACTCCTCAGAAAGCCACATGGCGGGATTCGGGATCAAGAGATTGGGGGTCAAGCAAGACCAGAAGCAAACAGCACCGCTGCTCGCTTCCTCCGGCAAACGTACCTGGAAGCTCAGCTTTCAGCTGCCGTGGGGGCAACTTTCCGGGGTCCTGGGTCCTTGTGTGAGGGGGTTGAGCCCTAGTTGCGGGGTTCCACCCCCCGCCCTTTTGGTTGACCCAACCATGTTTCAAGGATCGCAACTCGAGGGCCTCCAGAGTCGACAAGCCGACCCTCTTCTGTTCCAGGTACCACCTTGGCGTCAGTCTTCCAGCCCATCTCGGCGCGTCAGGAGCCTGCCCAAGCGGAAGTTTCAGGTCGCTTTGGCTGAACATAGATTCTAAGGTCAGTTGGGTGCATTTTATTTTTGATACATTCCAAGTCTGAGGCCCACAAACTCTGCTTGGCTTGGCAACGCAAGGCTGGCATAATTGCCGCGCTCCATTTCGCGCTGTCCCGAATTGCAACAGAACAGAGCCTCGCGGTTTGAGCTTCGTCTTCCTTCGGCGCATCAACTAGCTGCCACAGAGCCAAGTTTTTCTTTTCCGCAGGAGTCCGGCTGGGGCCAATGTGACATCGAGCAGAAGGCTTGGCTTTTGCGCCCAAAGTGCGAACTGGATGGCTGCGGGGTTCGATTTAGGGTGCCCCACTCTGTTGGGGTTGGGTTCAAAGGAGCCCAAGAGGACACCGCCCAAGCCTGGCGCACACAGGTTCATCCACGCTTGGTTGCTCGATGCGATGGTTTGCTGCAAAATCGTGGGGCAAGGATGCAGGAAACTCCGAGCTTCTGCAGCCTCGAGCGTGGTCATGGTCTCCATGGAAACCAAAGGGACACCATATCGGGGTTCCTTCCCCGCCCCCATCCCCACCAATAACAACCCCCCTCCCCTTTAAGACCCCTTGTATGTGTCCATTCGTGGGTTTCCTGGGGGCGCGATGCTCTTGGGGTGAGTCAAGAGTCGGAGCCCTAGAGGTCTCAAGTCCATCTGAAATTTGTTCAGTCCCGAAAAGAATACAACTGCTTTTCTCAGGAATTTGGAGGGAAAAAGAGGAGGGTCGTGTAAACTTTGCATATCTTGTCATGAATTGCTGTGTCTTCTTTCGGTGGGGGCTGCATTCACCGTGTGTATCTCTTCGGGCCTAAACTCGGAAGCTCTCCGGAAAAAAGATCCCCTCGCAGGTCGACTTTCTCTCGAGCTTCGAGAAGTTCTCGTGGCCTTGGGCGTGTTTCTCGAGCCGGTCGAACCGCCCATAGGTGGCGTACGTACCACTGTGGGTGGCTGGCTGGCTGGCTGGTTGGTTGGCTGGCTGGTTGGCTGGCTGGTTGGCTGGCTGGCTGGTTGGCTGGTTGGTTGGTTGGCTGGCTGGCTGGTTGGCTGGTTGGCGAGGCTTCTCATCATCCAAAGCACCCCAACACTCCCGGGGCGTTTGTTGAGTGGGGGACTTCTCCAGGGTGGAGCTCTCAGAGTCCATCTCGGCGCTGAGCAGCGGCATCGCCCGAGCGCCCGGTTGGGCTAAGGAGACTTTTGATGGGCTGGGGGGGGTGGGGGGGGTTGGAAGGGTTGGATGGGGTGGGATTGGATGGGTTTTCCTCGGCCATGTTCGTCCTTTGCTTTTCCGAGTGTTGGTGAGAAACCGCGCGCGAAACCTTTTTTGATCACCTTTGGTTGGTTGGATCCGGTTGTAGAAGGATCGCTGCTTGTTTGGTCGAAACGGGGTGGCATACACCAGTTCTCAAATCACCCGTAGGGCAAGGGTCACGGATTTCCCTCCGCCCGGCTCCTCTTTCAACTTCGGCCAAAACCAGATTCCGCCTAAGAACCGGGGTTTCAGCCAAAAGGTTTGTGGAAATTCCTCCCCAAAGAAAGAGACGCCCTTTTTCCCCCTCTGTCCAAAGGTCCTGAAGAAGGAGCTGCCTTCAGCCGCGGGCCCAGCATCGGCTTCAGAGCGTCTGGCTTTCTCAATGGTTGTTGGGGGCCTCGAAATCTTTGGCTTCCCTTTGAAGCCCCAAAAGGGAACTCCCCTTTGGCCAACGAAAAATGGAGCCGAAATTTGGAGACGCCTCCAAGGAGTCTTGAGGTCAAATGCGCGGGGGAAGTGTGGGCCACTGCGTGCCTTTTCTGACCTTGTCGCCCCGAGTTTTTCCACGGAACAGTTGTCGTGGTGTCAGAGAACGCGAGCAGGTGCCGTGTTTTCCATGTTTCCCGTTGCCCCCTTTCTCAAGGCCTTCGTTGGCAGAAACCAGGGAAAGGGAGGTTGAGGGTCATTGTTTTCAGGATTTGCTGCGAACCCTTGTGGGGTTGGGGGTGAGGGGCTGGGATTCTATGATCAGGTTCTTTTGTGTCCCAACGCTGCAAAGCTGCAAGCTGAAGAGAATTCCCCTAAACAATGGGAGATACCAGGGTGAGGGGGAGCGGGTCAGGGTCCTTTTTCGGGCAGAGCTTAACGCTTTAAGCTGAACCCTGGTCAGCTTCGCTTTCAGCCATCAGCTTCTTTCTTGCAAATTCGCATTTCTGGAAATTCTTGGCGTGCCAATCTTGTCTTTGTTGCTCTTTTGCTCCTACTTCCGCCGAGTCGCCTCGAGCCGCGAGTCGAGGGAGTCTTCTTGGACCCCAGCAGCCCGCAGTACCAGGAGCCTCGCGAGCTTCGGTGGCCCCTGGCCGGCTTCGGTTTCAGAAATCCCCGCCCCCCCCTCCCCCAAGAAAAGGCGGGCGGGTAAAGCTGCGGCTTGGCTTCGCCAAAAAGGAAGGAGTCAAGCAAGCCGAGGGATCTCGCTGATCTGGAGATGGCCCAGCGTATGGTGATGGGTGGGATTTGAAGAGCTTCGAGGGAACCTGAGTTTGAGCGGAAGAGTAGGGGAACTTTTTCAAAAAAACAACAACTTGGGACAGGTTGGATGCTGGGAATCATGGACTTGTTCTGTTTTGCTTTACTTCTTGTTTGATCAGCACTTTCACCATATGATGTGAATGGAGTGTGCTCTTCGCTCTTCTTTGGGTAGAAGTACTGTTGGGACAATCGTTTGAGAGATTTCAACTTGGACATCAACAGTTCAGGGCTGCTTTCCAAACCGCGGCCCCATGCTGGTCATGTCTCGTTCAGCTTTCCTGCTGAACCCCATCCAACAAAAGGAGTGCCCATGTTTTGGGAGGAGATGCCCATTGCAGCAGGCCATGGGTCAAAAAAAACCCAGTGAACCTCCCAATCCCCACTAAAATAGACAAAAATGGGTGGTGAATTCACCTACCCCAAAATGGTACCATTGGTTTTGACCCAGCCAGACAGCCAAAAGGCCGAAGGATTGGGTGGTCCCCCTGCTCTTCTGACCCGCTGATCGCCAGCTCGGCTCGGACCGGGGTTGGCCGGGCCAAGAAACGACATGCACATGCGCTGGGGCGAGGAGCCTACCAGCAGTCGGGCGAATTCATAGACCACATGTGTTCAGCTATTCAAGAAGGAGAGCAAAGGGGGATTGATGATACTTGTTTTTTCCCCAGACCCCCTATTTGGGGCGGCCGGAAGGATCTCTCTTGAGCCTACGGGTAGCCAGCTTCCAGTAAGCAAACGTGGTCCTTGATTCAACCGACACGGAGAAGCCGATCATGCAGGTTCCTGATCTCAGATACGACAAAGGGCTCAAAGAGCATGTGAGACGTGAGTTCCTGGACGCCAGCACCGCGCCGCGGCACCGAGAGCCATGGGGAAATGGAGGCAGGGGCCTCGGGGGTTGGGAAATGGATTTGGTCGGCGTATGGGTCGGTGTATGCGCCGTTCTTTCCTCTGAATACGACGTGAGTGGAGGTCTTTTTGTTCATGATCCATTGTGTTTGGGGAATCCCGCGAAGAGGTGCGATGTGCTCCAAATGTGTACCCATTGACCATGTTGGCAGGTGGTTCCACTTGGTTTCATCGAAAGTATCGGGGCCCCTATGCAAACCTTTATGGCCATAGAACTAAAAGTCAATGGGTTTTGGGTACTGCTCAAACGAATCTACAGCAAGACTGGGTTTCATGCTCTGAGCCAAGGCTCTGCTGGCTGCTGCTCTGTGCTTCGGCTTTGGAGGCGGGTTTCTGCCCAAGGCTCCGAGCTGGCTAGGGCTCCGGCAGGGTTTCGGGATGCCTGGGCTTTGGGCTATGGATCTTTGGGCGTCACCTTGTTGCCAGCTTGTGTTGAATTGCCTGTTGAGGCGATGTTCCATTTGCCCCCTGGCCAACAACAAATCCCCAACACATTTGCTCCACGACCGCGGCGCCGTGTCGACCTCACCTTCATTTAGGGGCCTGACCGGGGGAGAGATGAATGCTTGATGTTAGGCGTTTGCCATGTGATTGCTTTTGCCCCTTGCCCAGGCAGAAGCAGACAAGTCAGCGTTCTGATTGCTGGGGTTGAAACCATCGCCATCATTTCATCAGGGTCGAGGTTAGTTGAGGGCCACGTGGGCCATTTCGCCTGAGGGGGGTCGTTGATCCTTCTTCTTTTTCCCCTTTTTGTTTTCTGTTTTGGGACTTGACCTGCGAAGTTGACCCATGTCGCCAGGAGGTGGCGCTTGACACAGAGGCCGGGTGGCCGCATCCTTGGTGGATCGGCCGTGGTGGCCCCTGGCATCCTACCCCGAAACCACGGCCCCAGAGCAGAACTGGCTGTAAGACCAACACATGGCCAGAATTCAAGGGATATTCTCCATGGACAAACGGAATGGGCCACACAACCCTCGTTTAGCCACACCCAGGGAGAGACTTGTACGTACATTATGTTGGAGTATTGTAGTAGCATTCTTCCTTGCTTCGTTTTTGTGGATCAGACAACGTCCGGATATATATATATATATATGTATATATATATATATATATGCAATTTTTACTTCTTCATTCCGCCGCCCTTTCATATATTCTCCACATCTTCATTCATCTCTTCATGTTTATTATGTTTTCTAGTGCAATTTGTTTTAAGATATTCCTGTCGTTTTATCGATAGATCTCAAGAATAAACAGACAGAGAAAGATAATAGAGACAGAAAACGAGAGAAAGCACGAGACAGGGAGAAAAAGATAGCACTTGAGAAAAGATAGTACAACTCTAGTTCTTATGTTTTACATGTCTGCCAACCGGTTCCGGCTTAATTGGTATTATTTGTGGTTAAATTTGTATGTTTTTATACCCTGTCTTCCCTTGAGGTTTCTGGATGCATCTTAGAATCCCGGGCCAGGCTGAGTCGGTGCAGGCAGGAAGTTTGGCGCGACTGTGAACGCGTCTCAAGCAACGCGTTTGTGCTATGCCAGCGGGGCTCCTGAAAAGGCTCAGCTTCGCCATGACAAGCCAGTACTTATTTTTTTGCAACCCAGGCTAAAAGGAAGCCGTGCATGTGGGAGGTCTTGTGTTTTGGTGGGCAATGTACGCACTCCGGTCCAGGTCTCAGTTTGTGTGTAAGGCAACACATACTTAAGCTAAAAAGTGGTATAGAAGCTTCCCTCCGAAATCCCTTCAACGAGTTGCCCGACCTCCGTGCGGCCAGGAAGCCGAAACCGAGTGCAGCGTGTGCCCGGTGCGCTTGCTGGACGTGGTCAGCAAGGCCTGCCGAAATGACAAGGAGTGTTGGCTGTGAGTGTCTATCACAATGGGAAATTTGGACCCCCACGATTTTCGTTCGGGCTTCCTTTTTGTAACCAATCCCAAAAAAGAGGCACCCTCAAAAAACGACACCAGGTGGACCGTGCAGTACTAAGACCCTGCCCTATTCACGAACCAGGGGTTTGTTGATCTTCATCTTCCCATTTTCAGTGGTTCGTAGCCCCAACCAACCCTTTTGTCCATGTTACAAAAAGAATGCGAGCGAGCTCCCAGATTGATACCATCCCTCGCACCTTGAAAAACATGGCACCCGAAAGAAGGAGACCCAAAAAGTGGTTAAACCCTAGAGCAACGGCCTTTTGGATGCTTCCTTCAAGGAATTTCCATTTCCTCTCTAAGGGACCTTCTGGTGGGTTCCTCATGGCAACGGGTGCTGATCAGCTATGCCCCAGCCCTGGCAAAGGTGATCACTTTCCAGGTTCTTGGGAGTAAGGAGCTCGCCCGGAACAAAGTGGCTTTCGATTCAGTGATGAATCTCTTTCGCATGGGGATCCCTCTGTGCGAAGATCTTATGTATCTCCCTATCCGTGAACATGAAGCCGGGGAACAAAACTCTGAACGCCCCCACGCTGCTGTACACCCACGGGCAGCGCATCGTGTTTGCGCCGTTCCCAAACTTAGCCATTTAACCTTGAGTTGTAAAAGGGGTCCCCTCTGCAGTGGCTTTCCAATAGGGATTATGGATTTGGATTGGCCAGCTCTGCATTTTGACCTCAAACGTAGGCCGTCCAAGACACGAGTTTCACACGCAAAAACAGCACGCACCACAAGCGCAACTTAAACGAACGGGCGCAAAACGAGTTCCCCAGCCCCCAGTCCGGCCCTGAGACGGCTCACGGCTCGGCCTGTTTTCGTGGGGCCGAGGAGGGTGAGGAGGACGGTGCCGGGCTGCGGCTGAGCGGCGCGGGCCTGGAGTATTTGGAGAAGCAGCGGTCCCCCCTCTTCCTCGCCCGGGCGCCCAGCAGCCCAGCAGCCCAGCAGCCCAGCAGCCCAGCAGCCCAGCGCCCAGCAGCCCAGCAGCCCAGCAGCCCAGCAGCCCAGCAGCCCAGCTTCACTTTCCCCTCGTTTCCCTTATTGGGGCCTTCGCGTTTGGATCTCAGCAAAATTATGTTCACTGCTTGTTGCCTTGAGACTTTGCCCAGTGAGCTCTTCAGGGTGAAGCCTCAAGCCTGCATGAGCTTCAAAGCTGCCATGGTCCAGTTCAGGACGAACTTCAGCTTCGAGCTGAAGCTGGCTGAAGATGAAGGCGTGAGAAGTTTGGTGGAGTCGTTTCAGGTGGACCCAAGCACCAGGTACTTCTATCCAGAGTACCGCGAGAAAATTGCCCTGCGCGGGATCAATGTGGAGCCGCAGCGTCTCTGCGCGCGGCTCCTCACGCTCTATGCAGGGCCCGGCATGTCAGAGGAAGATGCAGACAGGGGGATCGGCCAGATGCGCGAGGCGATGAAGCATTGGGCGAATACTCCGAACCCTGTCGCGGAGTTTGGCCATCAGCTGCGTCCAAAGCCGGAATGCCATAGGACGGTGTGGTGCACCAAATCTTGCGCAGGCCCATGGGTCGCAAACCTCCGCAGTCAGATGCGCAAGCTCGCAAAAGAGCGCGGCTTTGAGGTGGACCAGATCTTGGAAGAGGAGGAGGATTTGCACATTGTGATTCGCAAGGAGCACAGGTTGTTGGAGGCCGAGGCCACGAACGCCCCCGGCTTGATGAAGATCACCTTCGAAAGGCTTGATTTCGTCAAGCGCAGGCTCGTACCAAGGCCGGTGCCTGGATGCAGACGGCAGCAGCTTCCTTCCGCTGAAGCAGGTCCTCGCCATGGCGCAGAGCCCCGCATCCCGCCAGCATCCATGCCTGGGCAACTTGGCCTCTTCCATACACGCGAGTTCATGTTCGGGCTGCACTTCGGAGAAGGGACGGCTGACCGCATTGGGTGGGAGCAGCCGAGACTCACCATGGGCATGTGCGCCAAGTTTACCAAGCAGCAGACGCAAGAGGCCCCAAGCTTTGAGTCCATGACCCTTTTCCCACCTTTGGAGCTTCTCGCGCAAAAGAAGGGCGTCTGCCGTTTTGCACCCAAAAACCTCAAGGAACGGTACACAGTGGAGCTGCATCCGGACACTCAGCTGCCATTGCAGAGCGACGACGAGGTCGCAGCGGCCGCCAGTTTGCTGCAGGCCGACCGCGCCATGGTGGAAACCAACGCCCGGGCGGTTGCGCAGATCGGCTTGGCCCAACCAAGGGGTGACACGTGCCACTCAGAAGTCACTAGCCACATGCTTTGTCTCAAAGATTAAGCTGTGTGTGTGTGTGTGTGTGTCTCAGCTTAAGTTTTTATACGGTGATGATGGCCTTTTTGCAAGAACTTCCTGCGACGCTTGCACAGAAGCCAGCATTGCCCGGGAGCCGAAGCAAAAACCCACCAACTCGTCCCAGACCTGCGGGGTTCACCTGATCTTGGAAGTGGGTTCTCTGCCACTTGGGAAAGCTGGCCACAAACATCCCTCCAAAGGGGTTCTACTTCCCTAGTTTTGAGTGAGCAAAACCCACAGTTACGCCAAGCTCAAACTACGCTTGTTAATTGGAAGGAGGGTGGCGTTTTGCGAGGGTAGGGCAAAAGGGGGGTACCCTCAAAAGATACAACCCAGAGAGGACTGACCAATCACCCAGAAACTGACGCTGCAGAAGGGCCGCTTCGGCACCTTTCGAGGTGCCCGCCTTGGGTGTGTACCGCGGCGGCAAGTCTTTGCTGCTGAACCGGCTTATGGGGCGCAAGGCGCGCCTGAAGGAACGGAATTGGACGGCATGGTTTCTGGGGCTCAGTTCCACCCAGGGCGCCATGGCGTCGGAGTTTGTTGGGTCGTTGGGGCGGTGTCGACGAGCATTTGGAAAACATGTTGAGCCTTCCTCGCGAAGCGTTTTATTGGCCAAGGTACGTAACTGCCATCCCATCCCCTGAACTGATGCGGGTTTCTCGTCGGTGTACAAACCAAGCCCAAAAAGGTCGGGATTTTCAAAAAAGGCAAGCTCGTTCCCTTCCCTTTAAATGAACAGACTCTGTTGTACTTTTGGCTTTGGTGTTCGCTTTCCCCGCCAATTCCAGAAAAGAGGGGTATAATTCCAGAAAAGAGGGGCATCCTCATAAACAGCAAAGACCATCCATATCAATGCCAGTGATTTCATGTACCTGTAGGCAACCTCCTCAAAAAGGCTCTGTTTCCCTTCGCTTTCTTTCACCGTGGTACTTTTTTTGGTTTCCTGCGGGGGGGTGGCGGCCCTGGCGCGGCACATGGGAACGGACCCTCGAGGCGCCTTACGCCGCCGGCTTCGGGGTGGGCCATGGCCAAGAGACCTTCACCAGGCGGGCGCTCGGGGGGGTGAGGGGGGGAGGGATGTCACGGGGTCACGGCTCCACACGTTAGACATCTGAAAGCGCGAAACAGGTCTAGAGGGATCTCGTTTTGGGAATCTAACTTTTCAGGGAATCTCCTGAAAAATCGGACCCCCCCAACCAAAAAAAAACGGGGTTCCATGTGGCAAGTTTGCCATCGTGTGAGCCATGCTTGTGGGAGGGCCTTTCCCATGTGACGACTTGGCGCTGAAAGAAGCGGCAAAAAGTCGCCAGGGGTATCCAGATCTGCGCCGAAGCCCTGCCAGAGCGTCAGGGCACCGTGGCCGGTGCCCCAGATGCTTCTGGCGGCGTTCAGATGTTTCCCTGATGTGTTTGGAGGGTAGCTCCTTCTTTGAGTCAGCCCCTTGGAAAAAGGGAACCCCTTCCCTGAAATGGACTTTCAGTGGAGGTCTGGGATGTCAACACCAGGTTTAGAGTAGAACCTGGTGGATAGGGGCGCGCAACTCCCCCCAAAGGCGATTTTTTTTTTTTTTTTTTTTTTTAAATCATATTTTTTGGGCAGCCAGGGCTTCCCACACACACGAGGGCTGGAAAATGGGTTGGCCTATTGCACGTCCTTCCGCTCGCGCCCGAGGTGTGGATGGACACGGAGGGCTTGTTCTCCTCAGAGGACGGCTTGATTTGAAGCCCGCCTCGGGACGACTTTTGCGAAGATGCTTCCAGCTGACTCTCAGTGTCGCGAAAGGCGCCCTGTTTCGTTTTCAGCTTTCAAATTGCCAAATGAGATGAAGAGAGGGGCGAGGCTCCAATACGTCGACAGAGCCCAATTTGGTTTGACTCCGGATTGTTTTTTTGGCATCAAATCGCAGACCGTCGCTGGCGGAGTCAGCGGGGGTGTTGCCCCCAAACATGAAGGATTGACTGTAACGTGGGGTTGTCCCCCCTGCTTTTTGACCCCAGATCGACATGGAACCGCAAACATGTAAAAATGCTGCAGGAGTGCATTGATAGTCAATTCGGGTGCCATGATCCCAAAGCCTCCTGTGCTTCTCGCACGCTTCAGGAGCTCCCAGGCACAAACTCGAAAGCCAGCCCCATAGCTCCCTTGCAAGACAGTCCAAAATACCCTTTTCTTATCTTTTCTTCAATTCCCTCAAACTCAGTTCCTGGCCCAGTTGCCGAGTGACTGGTCCAAAAAGGCCCCCCTTTCTGGGGGGGCTGAAGGAACCAACCACCAGCTAAAAGGGGGCTGGAGGATTCCAGCAACCACCAGCCGCCAGCTTCCCCGAAACATGGACGGTGCTGCCTCCACTCCTCCGCCAGGACGCCCGCAGCGCCGGGGCCGGGGCCAAGATCTTCAGCTTGGCGCTGCTCTTCTCCTCCGCCCGAAACCTACGCGGGCGGGGTCGACGGGGGGTCTGGCGAACGTTTGGGATGCATTCTGCTGTGTGGGGTTACGTGAAATTCCATGTGTGCAAACTCCAGCTTCCTTGGCAGGGGATCAGCTGGATCAGATTGCAAAGTGATAGATGTATGAGTTATATGTCTCAAATGCATCTTTTAAGGGCCCTGCAAAAGTGAGCAACCGGCGTCCTTACGACCCCCAGGTTTAGAGATTCGCCCAGCTGAAGCAAACATTCAGTTTCAAGACCTCGTGGCTGAGGTGGTCCTCTTGAACAACCTCAAGGCTGGGGGGCGGCTTGCAGCGAGCTATGTGGCTGGTGGGGCGTCAGTGCCTCACACAGATTGGTCGCACTCATGATAGACAAGGTGCCTGTTCAAGAGGATTGTAGCTTCCAAAACCTGAACACAAGCTCTCGAACAGATGCCCATGTTTCATCCGTTCGCTTGGTTTGGTTGCGGGGTGTGTTTGGAGGTGCTGAACCAGCAGTTCTTCGTTTTCTTCGAGGAGCAGCAGCAGGCCGGCCTGTGCGAGATGCAGTTCCACCGGACCTTCAGCCCCGCCCTTGCCCCACCTCCTTTTGGCCTTTCTTGAGGTCTGGGAACCCTGGATTCATCAACCTGCGGTTGAAGAACAGGGGGGGGTGCCCCTTTCTGTGGAGGATTGAGGCCACTTATGGAGGGGGATATCCTCCTACACTCAGATCTGGGGGGCGGGGACGGCTTGGCACGTCTTTGCGGCTCAGGTGGCCCGGGTCTTGCGGGAAGGCCTCCGCGCAGAGGGCATGCCCAGCCTGGGCCCCTGGCGTTGCCAACGCCCCCGGAGATATGGGGTTTGTCTTTTTGGAGGAAAGCATGTGTTTGTCTTCTTTGTCTTGGAGCGTTTCAAAGGGAGATGAAAGGGATAACCAACACTTAAGGGATTCCACTACTTTCAGACATCCCATGTGCCAAAGCGGATCGGGGCTTATGCCCCGAAACGAAGGCAGTCTTGCTGGCATTTCCAATTGAGGGTCCAATTGAGATGAAGCAATTTCCCACTTTTGAGGGGGACACCCCAATGGATGGGTTTCCTGCGTCAAACCTCATTTCGCCCCTGTGGCATGGGTCCCCCACAGTGACACTACAGGTGACCTTTTGCTGCCTGAGAACCTGTCCATCGCTAGCGCCCCAGCAGTCTCGCGGTTTGCGCGGCTTGGGTTGGGGGTGGCTTGTCCTTGGTGTTTCAAAAGCTTGCTTGTGTTCTTGTTTTTGTTTGTTCGCGCCGGCCGGGGGATGGGGTGAACTATATATACATATATGCACATAGTTTGATTTGTCAAGATAGCTTGGCAACAACCGGACGAAGAGATATGCTGCACACTCAGTTGTTCACTGACACTCCGTTTTCCCACTTTGTTTTGTGGTTTCCCGCTGGAAATGATATCTCTCTCTCTCTGTCTCTCTCTCTTTCCTCTCTCTCTCTCTCTCTCTCTCTCTCTCTCTCTCTGTCCCTCTCGCTCTCGCTCTCTCTCTGCTGTCTCTCTCTCTCTCTCTCTCTCTCTCTCTCTCTCTCTCTCTCTCTCTCTCTCTCTCTCTCTCTCTCTCTTTTCTCCCTGGGCAACTGGGAATGCGGACCTTGTTGGGTACGAGATCAGGTGCTTGGTTGATCGCCCTTCTCTCAAGCTCGGTTGGCTTGCAAGGCTTGGCTTGGACTGGGCCAATGTTTGATCTTACCCCCTTGGCCTTTACAAATCTTGGGCACATCAAAGTCCACGCGTCAACGGGGTTCTCAAAACGACTTTGCAAGTTTCCACAACCACCATTTTGAGGGTCATTTTGAGAAAGTCGCTTTAGTTGCCCCGGTCAAAACTGTTGGCCGAGACTTCAAACCTCAAACCTTTAGGTTTTCTACAGCGAAGTGGTGAAGTGGTTGCCCGTTACCAGCGTGCCGTCCCTTTCCAGAGGGGTCTGCAGCAGCTGTACAGGTTCTCCTTTGCCATGGGCAGCCATGCGTCCTGCGAGACTTCCTGCTGCGACCTTGCGCGAGGGCGCCTGGGCAGTGAACAAAATGCTGACGGATGCCGAAAAGTGGGAGCATCTGAAACCCTTCGAGTTTTGCTTGCTTGGCGCCCCCCTCCCATCCCTTTGGGGGACTGAAACGACCTGGTTTCACCGAAACCGAAAGCACCTGTTAGCCTGCTAGCAAACCCAGTGGTTCAGTGGATTCCGCAGCCGAACCTTAACCTTTTTGTATGGCTTCCGGGACATCGAGACATGGAATCAACCCCGAAAACTGGGCTGGTTCTATCCAGGGTCAAAACAACTCGGAGTTTGGTTGTTCACTGGGTCGGTCAACCTGACAGATGAACTGGAGAGGGTGTGAGGTGCCCGCCACATTGTAAAGGATCCCCGTTTTCAAACCGCGCACGTTTTTGGTCAATCAATGATCCCAGTATTCTCGGGCCTCAGCTGCCAACGCTTATCCAGCAGAGCTCGGTTCTTGGGCACTCCTCGGTCACATCACAAAGTCTATTTGGGCGTGCGTTGGTCTTAGCAACCAATGTAGGGTCGGGTTAAAGGGAGCTGCCCAGAGGGCACCTCTGGGTTAGGAACGAAGGCATCAGCAGGCGTGGGTTCGCCACGGGCTCGGGATCCGTGGGTTCGTCAGGTTCAAGGCCCTGAAGACTCAGTGGGCCTTGCCTTCCAAGCCGAAGAAGGCACCGTCTCCGGGGTTCCGGTGGGGTGGAGGTGGAAGGCTGGGGGTGCTGGGTGGAGGTGACGAAATCCAAGCCGCGAGTTGAACGGATGGTTTGTCCCATGGGGTTTCGTTTAATCTAGATAATGGATGTCTTCCATCCCGGGGGGGGGTTGAAGGGTCTGTAGTTTTGAGCGTGAGCTCGTATAGACAATAGTTGACCTCATTGCCCACAATGGTTCTTCCATCGGATGAGCTGCTCCTTTTTCCGGTTGCTTTTTTTTTTGGGGGGGTGGGGGTGGGGGCTCTCGAAACAATGCTTTTCCAAATCGAGCTGATCAAAAGGAGGCAAGCAAGAAAATACAGGAACAATATGAGTGTGGGTCAAATTAAACCACCCGCCGGTTTTAGTCCTTGGTTCCATTTGGCAGGGTTCCAATTTGGGTATTTATTTTTGACCCACAGTCATATGGAAAAAAGGGGCGCCCCATGAGGAGAAGGTCCGGGAGAGCCCCCGAAGCCTGGCTACCGCCTCGCCCTCGTCGCGGCGCCCTGCGTCGCTGACCTCGGCATCGCTCACTGCGTCGCCTGCCGTGTCCGGTGCGCCTGTCCAGAGAAGGACGGGTTGTTTCAAACACACGGAAACCCCAAAATGGGTGGGGGGCGTGCTTTATTTGAAACAAGAAAATCTTGTTTGTGAGTAGGCAAGTGAAACCATCTGTAGAGCAACAAAGTGATCAGCTTGATTTGGGCATCAGAGACGTGTTGATTTCCTAGAGCCATGCCCCAAGAGCAATTCTTATTAATTAAGCCAAATGCCAAACTGGTTCCCGAGCCTTCAGGTGCTGCCGGTGCTGCCGCCGCCGCAAGCCGGACGCAGCAGCCCTTGGTGCGGGCTCGCCCGGTCAACGCGCAGGCGGATCTGCGTTTTTGTTTTTTTGTTTTTTGTTTTTTGTTTTTTGGTACCCTTCTCAGGTTGGTTTGAAATGGGTAAAGAGGAGCTCATTTTTGCAGGAGGAAACAACAAGGGACACCCCACGTCAGGAAAATCTCAATTTTCAGGGGGGGAAGCGGCAGCCAGCAGGGAAAGCCCCCCATGTTTCGGGGGGGTTCCAGGCCCTGCGCCCTTTGCCGCCTGCGACGGCCTCAGCTGCCCCAGCCTGGACGCGCTGGACGCGGCGCAGCGCGCGGCCCTCGCGGAGCTGCGGCGCCGCGTGGAAGCCGCCGGCGCGCGGAGCGGAGCCGCCGCGAAGCGCCATGAGCTGTGGCTCAAGAGGCGCCAGATGTGAGGGTGGGAGGTTGGGGGAGGTTGGGGGGGGGAGGTCTTTCGTGTGTAGTGTGTGTCGATTTGGAGTGGTTATTGTTGTTTTATTTCTTCGGGTCAATGGCAAATGGCAAAGGCGCTCAGGGTGCCAAGACCTGGTGCACATTGCCAGTCACACTTGGGAGTGCAGTAGCGGCATAATGCTGACCCCATATTAATCAACGCCAGTCTATTAATGGAGGGATGTCCCTGGGTTTAGTGGGGGATTCATCACTATTCGAGGGGAACACCCGCCTATTCATAAACTGGGGTTCATTAGTATGGGATCAACATCAGGGTTGAGACAAGAAGCCCCAAGAGACGGCCCAACATTGGCCCGATTTTCGGGAACCCGCTGCGGAGATTTGGCTGCGTGCTTGAATGACAGAGCTATGTGAGCAACAAGCAATGGACCTATGACCCGCTGAAGGTTTGAATTAACAACGTCGACCCTAATATGGACTCTATTGCCGACGTCGGTCTGGCAGATTTGACGCGGGCTCTTAAATGGACACCCCCCAGAAAAAGTCCACCCAAAACAACAACTCCACCAGTTTCTTTTTGGCATTTACAACGCAGCGCCACCATGCGCCTTCTAGCTACCGGCGATCTACCCCGCCTCCCCCCCACCCTCCCCCCATTTTCTCTTTGGTCCACCCAAAGCTCGGCTCGGAGGTTCCTGGCCCACAGAAAGTGGGACCTGGACAGAACGCTGGCGGCCTTTCTGGAGATGGAGGCGTGGCGGTGCAGAGTGGGCGCCGACACCATCCTGGAGGAGTGCTGAGTCTTCGGCCATGGGAATGCCCACCAAGAAGGCCTTCCCCAAGAAGGCGGAAAACATGGGGGTTGCCTTTTTTGTTTTGGGTGCCTTGGATGTGGACGCTTTCCATTGGATCCACGAGCCAGCCATTTTTCCAGTGAGCGCTGGCCACCAAAACGGAGAAAAGACGTTGTTGGCTTTGGCCTTTTAGGTTGGTACCCCTTTTTGAAGGTGTAAAGGGAAGCCACCCATTTTGCCTTCCTTTCGGTTGGGAGCTTTCTCCGTCTTTCCTCACAAGTCAGCAACCGGTTTGGACACCTTTCCAAACAAGAGACAAAGAATGGACAACCCAAAGACACACGCACACACACACAAAGAAACAAGTGGGATTGAAAACAACAAACAGAACACCTATGTAGAAGGACCCCCACCCCCGCGCCCCCCCCCCCCAACCCCCCCAAAAGGGAAGAAAAAAAGGAACAGAACAACCAACAAAATGAAGAATAAGGAACAGTAGTGGAACAGTAGTCCCGTCAACACACCCCGGTGGACATGATTCTCAAACTTGTGTTTTGTTGTTATTATGTCCGCCCGTATTTTTTGGTGGGTCTTCGGAACTCACGCAAAAATGCGCGTGGCCTTTATGTGTTTCGACGCGGAGGAGTGCCCGGATGGCCGGCTGAACCGTGTGCTCCTGCTGGACATGGCAGGGTTCTACCCCTACGGCGTGGATCGACACGGGAGGAGCGCCATGGACTCGGCGGTCGCGAGGTGACAAGGGCAGCCCTAAGGTACTGGCGGAACCGAAGCCAAATCCTTTGAGCAAAAAAGGCGTTTTTGTTTTTGGTCATTTTAAGGAAGGCTAAGGATCAAATCACAAGAGTGGACGATTAGACAGTTTTCCTGGAGCCACCTTTCTGCGTGGATCTGGATTGTGGAGCCGTCCGTCTTTCCAGGGACCCTGGGCAGTTAGCACAGAGAACCTGCTTGCAGGCTGCAGTTTGCTTTGTGCCGATTGGACACCTCCGCACAACCCCCGGACCGGTGGCCTTGTTGTTTTGTTTTACTTTTTGTTGGCATGGATCCCTTAAGACGATTCATGCTGGCCGTGCCTTGCCACAGAACGGAAGGGTGTGTGTGTGTGTCTGGATTTTGACCGCGCGGCGGTTCTGGGGGCTAGGCACCCTCAGGCAGAGGACAGAGCAAATCAAACTTTCTATATCGATTGCCCACTTGACGTGCATGTCTTCCACAGGATCGAACTGTCTGAATCAGACTCCTTTTTTTTTTGCTCCTTCTCTTAAATCGCAAGACATGGCGTACCCCCCCCCCCTCCCGCCCCTTCCCACCCTACGTTTTTTTGTTGGGGGGCGGGGTGGGGTGGGGGATGCGCTGGCAAATCCACCCTCACCACCCTAACC